GGTGGAACTTGTATAGAATGGTAGATATAGAATGTGGTCTTGTTCTATATCTATAGTCTACCATGTTCTGCAGGATGGTTGATATAGAACACAGTAGAACTCATACAGGATGGTTGATACGGAACATGGTGAAACACATATAGCTGTATATAGATGTAGAACATTGTATAAATGAGGGGCGTATGTGTTCCATCTGAAGGGCAAGTAAATAAAGAGCTCAGGCATGTTTTCAGTGTCAGTGGGCCTCAGTGGGTGCGATAAATCATATGTAAATGAGGGTCTTGTCTCTGACCATCATCAGACTGACAGCAAATGACATTTTAATTTCATACTTGAGAGACTTGACGATAAAGTTGCTTTATGAAGCTTATTATCTGCCTGCGTCTGTATGCAGTATTAAATTAAGTTCAGTTCAGAGCTTCAAGAGACACTGCCTCCAGAATTGTAGGGTAAACTTTATAAAAGCCTCAGGAAGAAATATTGAGAGGAACCAAGACTCAAAAGGAGAACCCAAGCAGGTAGGACACGTTTACAACCGAGGTTAACTCTTGTGTATTGAGCTTGTTCATGAATTTAGTATCAATGTTTTCAGGAATATAAAGCCAATCTGGTTGCAGATAAATGTATAAGAGATTCTAATCTTGTCTTGAACAGCTTCAAGATGATCAAATCTCAAGGTGGCTAAATTGACAAAAAAGTAATGTAAATAGATAATTAAGGCACATATTCATCATTTTAATTCTTGAGAAGCGTTCTTGAGTTCGTAAAATATTGAATGAAACATTTTAAAACAACCTTTTGGCCAATGGGTAATATTTGAATCGACACTCGAAGTTATTAGTGTGTGTAAGATAACAAAGATGGTTTTGGACAGTATTGTATAAATGCTTACCAATGTTCTGGTAAGTTCCCCATGTTTACACACTCAGTTACGAAAGTAAATTCATTTGAACAATTAAATTAATTCACCTCCTTGTATTTACACTGTCCACTTTATCAGCTCCACTTACTATATAGGTGCACTTTGTAGTTCTACAGTTACAGACTGTAGTCCATCTGTTTCTCTGATACTTTGTTAGCCCCCTTTTACCCTGTTCTTCAGTGGTCGGGACCCCCATGGACCCTCACAGAGCAGGTACTATTTGGGTGGTGGGTCATTCTCAGCACTGCAGTAACACTGACGTGGTGGTGGTGTGTTAGTGTGTGTTGTGCTAGAGTGTAAAACAGTCTCACTTCAAGTATCTGAAAATCTCACTCCAGTCTCACTCTAACATCTCAGAATTTTACTCCAGTCTCACCCCAACTGCCTGAAACTCTCACTCCAGTCTCACTCTAACCATCTCAAAATTTTACTCCAGTCTCACCCCAACTGCCTGAAAATCTCACTCCAGTCTCACTCTAACCATCTCAAAAGTTTACTTGTCTCACTCCAACTGCCTGAAAATCTCACTCCAGTCTCACTCTAACCATCTCAAAATTGTACTCTAGTCTCACTCCAATTGCATGAAAATCTCACTCTGTCACTCCAACCGCCTGCAAATCTCACTCCACTCTCACTCTAACCATCTCAAAATTTTACTCCAGTCTCGCTCCAACTGCCTGAAAATCTCACTCCACTCTCACTCTAACCATCTCAAAATTATACCCCAGTCTCACTCCAACCACCTGAGAATCTCACTCATTCTAGCTACCTAAAAATCTCATTTGTCTCACTGTAACCACCTGTAAATCTCACTTTATTTTCACTCCAACCACCTCAAAACCTCACTACAGTCACCTCACCAAAGATGGCAACCCTGGCTAACAGTGAACCTTCTCACACTGAATGTGATGAGCAGGTAACAAAATACAGCTTTGGACTACCATTAATTACTCATCTAATCGCTAACATAGCAACTACAGAGCTTGAAGTGTACACTGAGCAGCTACTGGAACTGGACTAAAGCATGTTTATTTAGCAACATTATGAGTGGACTACACAAAAAACAATGATGAAGTTTGCATTTTACAAGTAGTTTCTGTTGATTACCTTCAGAATAAAATCTCACATTTGTTTAACAGCTATGTGTTCTGCAGTGAGTGTGTTAAATACCTGAACATCTCAAGAGGTAAGTCACTCTGGGTAGCGGTACCCACTCTGCTGATTGGGTAGTCTCAAAGCTTTGTCCACTTTGAAACTAATGCTAATGCCAAAACTAATGCTAATCACAGCCTTGACGATAAAAATGAGGCTTTCGCTAAGAGCTTCAATTTTGGAATAGAACAAAAACTCTTCACAGAAAAGAACAAGCTCTAGACTGCCGTATATGGACTGGAAGTATGAACATGGCTTATTCAAAGCTCAAAATGAACCTAGAAGATCATATAACATTATATAAATACAAAAACTATAAACAGATGCCCAACTCTAAACATGACTCATTACATCTGAACACCTAAACGGCAGAATAATAGAGGAAAATCTCAAGTATGTTTTCTATCACCACAGGAGCAAAGTTTAAGGTTCAGCTAACCAATGCCTGAGCAAGGGATGTCTATGTGCCCCGGACATTCGGCCCATTTGTTTCGGTCCACAGGGCGAGCAACATGGTAAAAAACAAAAAAATAAAAGAAAAAGTGTGAATAGTTTTGACACAGAAAAATGTGTAAATATTTACATTTACGGCAGACGCTCTTCTCCAGAGAGACTTACAATTTGATCATTTTACACAGGTAGGCGAAGGCAGTGTTAGGAGTCTTACCCAAGGACTCCTTATTGGTATAGTGTAGGGTGCTTACCCAGGCAGGGATTGAACCCCAGTCGACAGCATAGAAGGCAAAGGCAAAGGTGTTACCCACTACACCATACCAACCACAAAATGCCTAAATATTAGGCATTTTCGTGTCATTTACAGCCTTAAGACACCAGATTCAACTTTTAATCTTAAGGTGATCAACTGTGTTAACACTAATTACAACTGTGTAATTGCTCTGCAGGTGTCTGTGCTTAGCATTAAGAGACCGATTGTGAACATGAAGGTTTTTGAGAAATTTTTCCTTCTTGAGTTTAGACAAAGGCAAACAAGAGTGCATTCACCGTTTTATTGTAGCTCTACATTCAGGTAAAGCAGTTTTGTAAAAGGGCAAAATCAGCAACATCAAGGCTCATTTTAAAGCAGACCATTGGTAAAAAGCATACATGCGCTTTACGCCGCACCGCTGGTGTAACAACATGAGCACATTTCAAACCAGTTGAACTCAATTCTGATAAAACATCTGTCACATTATTACTACTACAATAAATATAATACAACATCATTGATGTATGATTTATACATTAGTTTACAATTATTCACAAGTATCATGTATGTTCCATGTGCAGTAGTTGCAGAAAGTTTGTGCATCAATGTACTGAATACATATGGAGAACATGTGAAGTGGGACCTATTCTGTCCTGGTTAAGTGCCTTCATTGATAAGCGATTCCCGAATCAGCTGTTAAGTGGCTTCACTCCAGATCCTGAACCACAAGTTCATTCAATCAGTAGAAGTTTGTCAATCTAGTTCCTGCAGAACCGCTCTAGATCAGAGGTCTTCCAAGCCAGACCTTGAATTCAGCTTGTGGTCCTGACTTTTTTTAATGACTGGTAGGTGACACTAAGTGGCCAGTGAGTCAGATCAACAGTACTTTCAGTACTTTCAAGTCTCAAGGAGTTGAAGACCTACACATGATTCAGCACATCTTTGTTCACTCTGGAACCTTCACTACAAGCTCATTCACTCCAGATCCTTCACCACAAGTTTATTCACTACAGATTTTCAGCACATGTTAATTCACTCAGCACACATTCACTCCAGATCCTTCAGCGTAAGTTCATGCACTCCAGATCCTTCACAACAGGTCTCTTCACTCAAGATCCTTCAGCACAAGTTCATTCACTCAGGATCTTTCACCAGAGGTTCATTCACTCTGGATCCATGTGATCATTCTCTCCAGATTTTCTAGCGCAAGTTTGTTCACTCTGGAACCTTCACTACAAGCTCATTCACCCCCGATGCTTCCCCCAGGTTTATTTATGACAGATGTTCAGCACATGTTAATTCACTCCAGATCCTTCACAACATGTTTCTTCACTCTGGATCTTTCACCTACAGTTCATTCACTCAGCACAAGTTCATTCACTTAAGATCTTTCACCACAAGTTCATTCACTCCAGGTCCTTCGATGCATGTTTTTAGATCCTTTGCTACAGGTTCATTCACTCAGCACCAGTTTGTTACTTAGGACAAGTTCATTCGCTCCAGATCTTTCCCCACAAGTTCATTCGCTCCAGATCTTTCACCACAAGATCATTCATTCCAGATCTTTCACCACAAGTTCATTCACTCCAGATCTTTCGCCACAAGTTCATTCACTCCAGATCTTTCACCACAAGATCATTCACTCCAGATCTTTCGCCACAAGATCATTCACTCCAGATCTTTCGCCACAAGATCATTCACTCCAGATCTTTCGCCACAAGACCAGTAGCTCCAGATCTTTCACCACAAGACCATTAGCTCCAGATCTTTCACCACAAGACCATTAGCTCCAGATCTTTCACCACATGATCATTCACTCCAGATCTGTCACCACAAGATCATTCGCTCCAGATCTTTCACCACATGTTCATTCACTACAGGTCCATCACTGAATTTTGCGTTGGATCCTTTGCTACGTATTAATTAACTCAGCACCAGTTTGTTCACCTAGCACCAGTTAATTCACTCCAAATTCCCCATGTATGTATAGAGTACACATGGACTAACATTCATATTGTCGTAGTTTAACAAAACTGGCTGGTGGCTTCACGGATCAATATCAGGATCAGTCAATATTAATATCAATATCAAAATCAAACACTATCAGGATCAGCTCTTAAGTTGAAGAATGTAGCTTCTCCTATATTTAACCATGCAGAAATGAATCAGTTAGTTCAGTCTAGATTCTCCAGCACAACGTTGTTCACTCCAGATCCTTAACCTGAAGTTCATTTGCTACAGATCCTTTAGTACCAGTTTTCTACTGGTCTTTTCAGGTCTTCCAGCACAAGTTATTTCAGTCAATACAAGTTTGTTCACTCCAGATCCTCCAGCACCAGTTCGTTCTGTGTCTCTCCATTACAGAACTCTCTCCTCCCATTGACCTGAGTGCTCCCTTTCTCCACTCGTCCATCTGCAAACACCCGGTTCCGTTTCCACTTTCCTTTTCTGCGATCCATCTCTCCAGCTGCATGTGCAGCAGTGGGCTGGGGAGGCATCTCCACCAGGCACAGTCCGAACTTAAACGCTGCTTGGAAGCCTCGGCGGAAGTTCTCGTTGAAGTATCCATAGACGATGGGGTTGATGCTGCTGTTGAAGAAGGCCAGCCAGTGGGCGAAGGGGTAGATGTAGACCGCGAGAATGTTGAGCTGGCTGGAGCTCATGTTCCCATAATCAGTCAGCAGGATGAGGATCCACAGGGGCAGCCAGGACACAGTGAACAACAGCGCCACCATCAGGAGCATGTTGACCACACGAATCTTTCTGCGGTACACCCGCCGGCCCTCGTCTTCGGCTTGGGCGTCTCGGATGGAGGCAGGCGATTTGAAGAGTTTGAGGGCGATGCGGGTGTACATGATTACGATTAGCGTCACAGGTGCCAGGTAGATGTGGGAGAAGAGCACCATGGTGTAGATCTTCCTCATGCTCTGATCTGGCCACGCCTCCCAGCAGGTGTACAGCGGGTAGGTGGTGTTGTCCCCATCCACCATGAAGTGATAGGCATCATGGGAGACGGTCAGTGTGACTGCTGAAGGGCACATGATGATGATGGCCAAAGCCCAGATGAAGGTGATGGTGATGATGGCCTGGCGTGGAGTGAGCTTCTGCTGGAACGGGTACACAATACAGCGAAACCTGAAAGGGAATACAGAAAACAAGCTATTATAAAGGGCCAATCCCATTTCACCCCTCGTCCCTACCACTTGCCCTACCCCTCTGGTTTGAGTATGAAGTATGAACTTTTTGAAATAAATGAAGTTATTGCTTTTTCAGTGTCCAAAAAAGCATAAAAAAAATCAGAACACATAAATTTAAAACAAAATTACACAGAAGCCTCAACAGCTACATATAATATCAAATCTAACAATATTTCATTTGTTCACTTTTTCTTCAGATATTTCTGACGAGATTAGATATGAGATAATCCACTTGCATGGATCCTTGAAAGTCAAAGTGAAATAAACAAGAGTTTCATAACTGGAGGTGAAAAACTGATTCAAAGCTACTGAGAAAATGTGGCTCCTAACAACCACCTGGAAGACCTGGTCGACCCCAAAACTGCCCCCATCAGATAAACAGCACTTAAAGCTTTCATCTCTGAGAGAGAGGAGAAAATCAAGCTGATCAGATCTGAAAACATCCACAGGTGTTTCTGTCCATCCTTCCACTGTGAGAAGACGACTCAGCGCTGTGGGTTTGAAAGGATGTGTAGCTGTCAAGAAGAACCTCGCTGAGAAAAGGAGACGGACACATCAAACAAAGAAGCTGAACAATGGACTGACCACCCCAGAGTCCAGACCTCAACACCACTGAATGTGTTTGATTACTTCAGAAAATGATCAACCAGCTTCTAAGACTGAACTTTGGAGGTGTGTCTGCAGATTCTTTGAGGAACTGAAAGTGAGTCTCCTGAAAAGAGTGGAAGCTGGAATAAAGGTGAAGAGTGACTCACTGACTCAAACAGCTGAGAGCAGATTTAGGCTTCAGTGTAATTTTCTGTTAAATTCATTCTGATCATCAGAAAAGGACAAACAAATATCTTTGGTTGCCGTAAGACTCATAAAAATCATCACTACAATTAAGCTTGTTTGTGCAGATAACAGAAACATTTTAGCTATTTTAATTCTCAAGTTATTAAGCGGTAATGTTTTGATGAGTGAGGCCACTCAAACCCATCAATTTCCAAACTACACCAAAATAGTCTTGTTTGTTTGTGCTGTTCTGTGCCATGAAAATAAACATTTGTGCAATTTTAATTCTCTAGTTATAGGCCAACCCATGTATCGGCTCCACAGCAGAATCAGATCTGTAGGTAAAAATAAAATAATCCTCCTTTACAGTAAAATAAAGCTCTGCTGATCATTCAACACAGTTTAACAATAAATGGTCTTAAACTCTGGAGTTAATGTAGAACTGCTGATTCACCCTTTAACCCTGAAGATCAGCGCAGACTGCTGGTCACCATAGCAACACAGACAACAACCTCGCCTAGCTAGTAGCTAACAAAACAGCAGAGAGAGATTTAAGACGAACATCGATAATTTAGAGACAAATTAACGTATTTACGTTTATAATCACTCCAGCTGGTTTCCTGATACGTTTAATCTGCAACGAGAAACTGAAACACTTAAAACTCACAAGGCTGAAGTCGCTTCTCATTCGCCAGCTTCTTGTTCGAATTTTCCCGTTCCACCTTAAATGGTGCAGCAGTTACATTCTGGTGCCTCAGGCACCATTTAAGGTGGAACGGGACAATTCGAACTATAAGCTGGTGAATGAGAAGCGACTTCAGCCTCATAAAAAGTTTAACGTTGAAAGACATTTTTCATGAAACTGTTCTACTTTTGAGGAAAAGTTTCCTGCTGGAGATGCGAGAAATGTGGCTATAGCTGAGCTAAAGATTAAAGCAGAGCAACATAAGTCAGCGTTTTGGTTTATATTATATTTTTATCCTATACTAGGACATCAGCACATGCTGAGACATATTTACAGCTAACACGGTATAATGGACATAAAATGTTGTGGCTCCAAAGGTGGTTTGATTTTTACTAAAAGGACACCTTTCTCGCCTAGCTAGTAGCTAACGAAACAGCAAAAAGAGAGATTTAAGACGAACATCGATAATTTGGTGACAAATGGACTTGTCTGTGTTTATAATCACTCCAGCTGGTTTCCTGATACGTTTAATCTGCAATGAGGAACTGACAAACAGTAAAAAGCCACGAGGCTGAAGTCGCTTCTCATTCGCGAGCTTCTCGTTAGCATTTTCCTGTTCCACCTTAAATGGTGCAGCAGTTACATTCTGTCGCCTCAGACATCATTTAAGGTGGAACGGGACAATTCGAACAAGAAGCTGGTGAGTGAAAAGCAACTTCAGCCTCGTGAAAAGTTTAACGTTGAGAGACATTTTACAAGAAACTGTTTCTCTCTGGAGGAAAAGTTTCCTGCTGGAGATGTGAGAAAAGCAGCTATATCTGAGACATATTTACAGCCAAGATGGTAAAATGGACCAAAAATATGTCTACCAAGGTGGTTTGATTTTTGCTGAAAGGACAAAATTGCTCTTCTTAACATTTGTGTTGTGACCCCTGGACCAGACAATCACTTTTTCTTATGATGATGATAAAGCATACGACGGTACCAGCATTCTTCTGCATCAGCATTCATTCTCTGAGTCAGTGCATATAAATAGAAACATTTTCATCCCTTTTCGGATCATATGGGCTGCCAGTGTTGCGAAGGTCACTGAGCAGTGTTTCTGTTCTTCACACTAAAATACATTTTTACAATTCGATCTCTGAGTCATCTCTGCTTTTGAAATATCTCCACTCCACAGCAGAGTGAACTCAGTTTTGTCTGTCACTTGTTATTCAGAGAGACCATCAGAGACAGCAATGTAATTAACCTTTCCACTGCGATGGCCACCAGCGTGAAAACTGAGGCAGACACCGAGGCACCCTGGACGAGGCCACTCATCTTACAGGTCACTTCATCGAAGGGCCAGCCTGGGGGTGAGAGAGAGGAGAGAGAGGAAGGTCAGGGTTAACACAGTGAAGGGAGAGAGACAGAGAGGCGGGCGTCAGGGGCGTGAAGGACGTGTCCAGAGAATTGTAAGTCTGTCTCCTGCACTTTACATGATACACAATATCAGGAAAGTGGAACTGTGTTAGCTAGAACGTCGTTGTTATGTGCCTCTGGTTAAGTGATTGGGTGTGATTTATACAGTGTGTAGTGAGGGGACAGATGTAACACAGTGCGGCTGGTGGTCAAGTTTGGGTATTAAAGGGCAAATATAGTGGAAAACTGAATTCTTTTCACTTTTTCAACTTAAGTATAAGATACAAACACAAAGTTTCAAAGCATAGCATTCACTGTCCAGTCCATATAGTCCACATATAGAAAACTAACCTGCAAAAATAGCCCGTTGTAAGAGTGAGTGTGACAGTAAGAGAGTGATACAGAGTGTGTGAGACAGACAGAATGAAAGGAGCGAGACAATCATCATTTTTGCATAGCTGAAAGAGACAGAGTGAAAGAACAGGACAGAGTGATAAATTAAGACAGTGAGAATTAGAGAGTGAGATAGAATGAGGAGCCATGATAGAGTGAGATGAGTGAACAGTAAAAGTAAGAGGACGGCAGATTAAGAATGAGAGCGAGGCTGAGTCAGTGAGACAATGAGACAGTGGGACTAGTGAGAGAGTTAGAGTGAGAAAATTGGAGGGTGAGTGAGATAGTGAGTCAGTGACAATGAGACAAAGGAGTATGAGAGAGTAAGAGTGAGAAAGTGAGTCAGTGAGAAGAGTAGAGAGTGAGATAGTGAGTCAGTGAGACAATAAAACAGTGAGATTAGTGAGAGTAAGAATAAGAGTGAGAGTCTGTGAGACCATACAACAGAGTGAGATTAGTGTGAGAGTAAGAGTGAGAAGGGTAGAGACTGAGATAGTGAGTCAGTGAGACAATAAGACAGTGAGAATAAGAGTGAGAGACTGTAAAACAATGAGAGTAGAGTGCAAGTGAGATATTGATACAGTGAATCAGAGAGAGAATGAGATGGAATGAGATTAGTATGAGAGAGTAGCAGTGAGAAGAGTAGAGTTAGTGAGAGAGAGGAGTGTGAGAGAGAAGAGAGTGAGATAGTGAGGGAATAAGACAGTGATATGAGTGAGATGGTGAGTCAGTGAGACAATCAGACAGTGAGATGAGTGTGAGAGAGAAGAGAGTGAGATCGTGAAACAAGACAATGATATGAGTGAGAGTGAGATGGTGAGTGAGGTGAGTGTGAGAGAGAGGAGAGTGAGACAGTGAGACAGTGTGAGTGAGACTGACAGAAAGTGAGACAGAGTGAGATAAGTGTGAGAGAACAGAGAGAGAGTGAGACATTAAGATAGTGAGATGAGTGAGAATGAGAAGAGTAGAGTGAGATAGTCAGTGAGACCACGGGACAGTGAGCCGAGTGTGAAAGTAGGATGAGAAAAGTAGAGAGTGAGATACTGAGACGGCAAGACAGTAAAAGACAGATACAATGAGATGAGTGACAGAGAAAGAGGAGTGAGAACAAGTGAGACATTGTGAGTTACAGTACAAGATAAAAAGAAAGAGTGAGAAATATTAAGTGCTCCATAATCAGCAGTGCTGAAATTATCATTAGGTGCCAGTTTGTTACCAGAGTCGCTCACTCTGCTGTTCAACAGCTCAGAAAGATGCTCAGATAAATCAAACAGAAGATGGTTACTAAAAATAAAATGGATGTCATTTTCATCAATTATTATAATCCTATTATAGATGATATAAATAAATCAAAAATGAAGATAAAGGCGAAAGTAGAGAGAAGTGTAGGCCCATGTTTTTTTTTTAGCTCTATGAGAGGAATAGATAAACAAATCTGTTGGCTGGTTCCGCTCGTTAATTATTGACGGTGTCATATGGACTCGTTCATGTTTAAAGAGCTCACACTTCCACAAACATCATCATCGCAGAGGTGCGATTAAAAAAGCTGGTTAACTAAATCAGTTTCCTGGCAACACGATGCTGAAAGCAGCTGCTGCTGATCAGGTGAAAACATCTAATTAATCCTGAACAGCTTCTTAATTATCTGTCCACTGATTGTGAAGGCAGTGAACTCTACTGCACCCCAATGGCCAAAAATTACACTTATTACTGACATTTTTATATAAATGCAGCCAAAGACAAATATAACTATTAAAGTTGATGCTTATGTGCTCAACCAGTCGAAGGTTGTATTTTACAGATTACATTTTAAGGTAAAGCCTCTTCATTTCCTGGGTATATTTTGTTTTTATCCATCTGAATTTACATGCCCAAATCACAAGGCAAATTATTTAGTAGCTGCATTAAAATAAATGTAAATTTTTGGGGGGGGTTTGGTAAAAGCTCCCCTCAAATGAACAGAAAATGTGTTTTATGATCTACACATATTGCTTTATGCTTACAATTTACTGCTGAAAGCCAAAAATCTTAGACACCTTGTATTTTTTTATAAAAATAATTTTTACAGAGCTTAAGTGAAGAGACACCATCTGAGGTCCAGTTTATAGCTCAGGTTTATGGAAAAAAGGGTCAACTTTCTATAGAAAAGATGCTGAAATTGCTCTCCCTGGCCCTAATCTTAACCCTAAACTTAACCTCAACCCAAAACCTAATCCTAACCCGAACCCTGGCCCTAATCCGAACCCTAACCACAACCTTAACCCAAAACCTAATCCTAACCCGAACCCTTGCCCCAATCCAAACCCTCTGCACTGGCCCCAATCCTAACCCTAACCTTAACCTCAACACAAAACCTAATCCTAACCCTCGCCCTGGCCCTAAACTGAACCCTAAACCTTAACCTCAACCCAAAACCTAATCCTAACCCTCGCCCTGGCCCCAATCCTAACCCTAACCTTAACCTCAACACAAAACCTAATCCTAACCCTCGCCCTGGCCCTAAGCTGAACCCTAAACTTAATCTCAACCCAAAACCTAATCCTAACCCTCGCCCTGGCCCTAATCCGAACCCTAACCACAACCTTAACCCAAAACCCTAATCCTAACCCAAACCCTTGCCCCAATCCAAACCCTCTCCCTGGCCCCAATCCTAACCCATCATATGTTTTTGACATGTTACTGTGAGTCTGTTGAGTGTTTGTTTCATGTAAAAAGACCAATCAAAATAAAGTGTCACCAAAAATACATTTAGTACTGTGCAAATGCCAGAGACACGAGTTTAAAACCAAATACCTGAGTAATAAGTGTTTTTTGTTTTTTGTTTTTATTTTTTTTTGCTTGTAACAAATAAAAAATGTAATAAGATTTTCTTGTTTTCAACACAGTTATTCATATCTTGTGCACTTGTGAGTTTGAAGAACAAAGTTTGATTGATTTCTTCTGGACCCACCAGCTACACATGGATTTATTAAACTCCATCAGCAGCAGCTGATTTAACTTAATGAGGTATTGATTAGATAAAGCAGGTGTTGGATTATCACTACAGCTAATACTGAGCAGCCTTGAGGAAAGAGGAGAAAATAAATAAACACACTGACACACATAAAATCACTGTGTGAAGTACCCCCTGGTATTCGGGGGTCCCATGTTGGCTGGCTACTCCAACAGTGGCTGCCTGTCAACTCAGTTTTCACAGTGGCGCTGACGCTAACTTCACTGACAACAAAATGTCTGGTTCAACAGTTTCTTCTTCTGGAAATGCTCTTTTCTACACTCTTAACCTCAAACTCAACAAGAAAAGTATCAACTCCATCTGAAACACAGTAATTATCCTCTTCAGAGCTGGACTCTGCTGATAATTGCAGGAGCGCTCGTTGACCCGTAATAAAGGAGGTCGAGGAGCGAATGGTGTTATGAGCTCACCTGTTATTAGGTTGTCAGCTAAAGTGATGGGCAGGCAGAAGATGCCCACCAGCAGGTCGCTGATGGCCAGGTTGAGGATGAAGATGTTGGTGACCGTCCTCATCTGCTTGTTCTTCAGCACGATGAAGCACACCAGAAGGTTGCCCACCATGCAGAGGAAGAAGATGAGGATGTAGGCCAGGATGCAGATGGTGGCCACTGGTGGAGAATGCAGGTAATACGAGGAAAACGTGTAGTTCCTGCCGTCCGGTGGGAGGTCGGTGACATTTACGCTGACGTAATCAGAGTAGGAGATGGTCAGATTGTAGGTGGGCAACTCTGAAAACAAAAAACAGTGTAAGTTATTCCCTTTTAGAAACGTTCATCCTATAAGGCAGTGGTTACCAACCCTGCGCATGGAGACCTTCCTGCAGACGTTACAGGCCTAATCCAGACCACCTGATCCATCTAATTATTGCCTTTAGAAGGCCTTGATTAGCTGAGTGAGGAGGGCTGGATTTGGGAGGAGAGATGGTCACCACTGTTGTGAAGCAAGAGGGAAAGAAATGATACAGTACATTTACTGTAAGAGTACATCTGTTAATGGTATAAAGGAGAGAAATAAGCATTACTAAACAGTTAATGTCACAACTAATCATTTTCCATTTCATAATGCGCCAAATGTTCTCAGTGGTGACAGATCTGGACTGCAGACAGGCCAGTTTAGCACCTGGACTCTTTTAAAATGGAACATTACTGTTGTAATACATGCAGAATAGGTTTTTTTTATTGTCTTGCTGAAATAATCAAGGCCGTCCCTGAAAAAGACGTCGTCTGGATGGCAGCATATGTTGCCAAAACATGTATATATCATTCAGCATTAATGGTGCCTTCACAGATGTGCACATCACCCATGCCATGTGCACTAATGCCCCCTATACCATCATGAATACTGGCTTTTGAACTGTGCACTGATAACAAGCTGAGTGGTCTTTAGCCCGGAGGACACAGTGTCCATGATTTAAAATAAGAATTTCAAATGTTGATTCCAGACCACAGGACACTTTTCCACTTCCTCTCAGTCCATTTACTGAATAAAATCACTTAAAACAAGTAGAGAATGTCTAGATATAAATTAAATAATCTTAAATTAAGCTTACAACAATCTTAACAGGATAACTATTAGATTTATTAACCAAATTTAAGATAATTTTACTTGACAAGATGGCATTTTTTGTGGTGTAGTAATGATAGCAGGAATAACATTCCATGCAGATCATTTTTGCGCAAGAACACTGCACAGCAGAACGGTGCACCACCACTCCTGTGTCAGCTAAACCTTCCTGCAGGTCCTTTGCCATCATATGGGGGTTTTGCTTTGCATTTCTGTTCAGAATATGAGCAGTGCTACCTGAGAGTTCCAGATCTTGCCTTGGCTTCCACAGAGCACCTTAACTGCCATTTCTGACATTAATGACATTTCTGACCTATGGCCGCCAGAACCACTGTGGCAAGCAGGCATTCGCCCTACCACTTTTCAAAGTACTGGACAGAGACATAAAACCTCAGCTTTCCGTAAACTGCATGAACGGCTAAAACGTAACAGAGTAAAAAGATTCCTTCACTCACTTTAGTAGAAATAAAAAAAAATATATGATTTGAAAAAACTCAGCAGAGTAAAATCCATCAATATTTTACTGAAGTACATGTAACTACTTACTACCCACCTCTGATTAGGTTTATAAAGAAATGTTCTTATTATGACATGAGAGGCAATTTTAATCAGTGACCTAATTACATTTCGTCACTCAGGCAGATGCTTTTTTTTTCCCTACCAATTTTGGAGGTGCGGCGCCACCCCTGTTTCTGACTGAGGAAATTGAATGCTAAAAGTGATCTCTTCATAGCCTTCTCCCTTGTAGGCATCAGTTAGCTTCATTTTCAGATCCTCACCCAGCTGCTTAGAGGAGCTCATGGACTTTGGATGTTAGCATAATGTTTGAAGAGTCCAAGAGCCCAGGTTGTGAGCTTACCAGTCCTAATGAGTCAGTTAAGGTCTAATGAGTTCTGGGACTTTACAACTTTTAATAATAATAATCTTTATTTATATATCAAAGTGCTTTACAGACAGGTGAAAAAAGCTTAACAGTAATAGAAGAAACTATGAGTATCAATTTAAAATCATAAGACAATAACACAGATCAGATTAAACAGATAAACACCAAAGAGCCGTAGAGTTTTAATAAAGCGCAGAGTTAAAGAGCTGCGTTTTCAGTGAGCTCTGAGCACGACTGTCTAATAAAAGCTGAACTGAGCTCCACAGTTTAGAAGCAGAATAACTGAAAGCGTCTCTCCAGGTTTTCTGTATTTTACTGAAGGTGTTCAGAAGGTCAGTATCTGCAGGTCTAAGATCATAAACAGACACACATTCAGGAGCTTTAAGGTCATTCAGAGCTTTAAAAACCAGCAGCAGAGCTTTAAAAACTCTCTCTAAAAGTTCCAGGCGGTCAGTGCAGTGTGTAAACGGGGTGATATGAGCTCTCTGTGTTGGTGCTGTGAGGATCCGTGCTGCTGCATTCTGCACAAACTGTAGAGGATGGACTGTTTTCTCCAGTAAGAAGATCATTACAGTGATCAACTCTGCTGAACAAATGCAGCAACAAAGTAAGAGAGAAAAAGCTGAACTTTAGTGATTTTCTCAAATGATAAAAGCTGCTTTAGTGACTGTGTTTACAAGCAGATAAAACAGAGCTCAGAGTCTAAGATCACTAGGTTTTTACCGCAGGTTTGGTTTATGAAGCTAAAAAGCAGCACATGCTGTAGTATTTTTTTCTGTTTTGTATATTAATCAATTTTAAAGTAACTTTGTGCAAACATTTCCAGAAAAATATGATTTTTTTTAAAAATAGTTTGCTGCAGAAATTGTGTTTAAGTGGTTAAGTGTGCTTAAAATTTTGCTTTATAAACAATATAAATGACAAATAATTAAATGTAAATTCAAATGTATAGCAAAACAACATCAACCGTGGTCTTCTAATGGCAAATAAGGATGTTATTTCTTGATTGTACATTATAGAGTGTTGATGTGTTATGCAATCCTTGTTGTTTGTCCCTATTCAAAGATATTCCAGCATGACTCACTGTAAAATAATGTTCAACGGGAAGAATAAAGGCACTCCTACTGCGGCTTATTCCCTACTGAAGCTACAGAACACAGCGTCCAAGAGTTCTTGGCAAAGAAACTGCATCTGCCTTATTAGGCGTTTGATTGAAGGCTTTTGTTTGTCTCTCATGATATGATCAATCTCTGTTTTTTTCATTTTCAATTCTAGGTTTATTGCATTCTAATGCTTATTATTCAGGGACTACACTGAAATCAGTGCAAACTAACTGAGTCATGCTTCAGCTGTAGAAGTGAGGAATGGAGGCCTGGCAGCTCCTGGGCATTAAGATGTTTGTTATCTTACCTTTTCAACTTGGTTCTCTTTTTTTTCTCGTTTATTATTAAACCCATAACTATAACGGTTCATAATTAGGCCCACATAAATTATTGAAGAATTTGTTGTATATACTGTATAATTCATAGTAGATACTGAATAATTCATAGTATATAATGAAAAATTCATAGTAGGTTCTGAATAATTCATAGTAGACACTGAATAATTTATGGTAGATATTTAATAATCCATAGTAGATGCTGAATAATTCAGAGTAGATACTTAATAATTCATAGTAGATGCTGAATAATTTATAGTAGATGCTGAATAATTTATAGTGATACTTAATAATTTATAGTAGATACTGAATAATTCATAGTGATACTGAATAATTTATAGTGGATACAGAATAATTAATAGTAGATACTGAATAAGTCACAGTAGATATTGAATAATTCATAGTATGTACTTACTTTATAGTAGGTACTGAATAATTCATAGTAGATAATGAATAATTCATAGCAGGTACTGAGTTTTTCTGTGTTCTTATAATGTGTATTATTTTATATAAAGATGCCTTGTGTATCTTTGAGGCTGCAAAAGATGTTAAATATGGCTAAAGTTTCCTTTTTTTGCTAAAGGCTTGAATAAATGACTCATTTCTGCTGTTAATGTCATGATGCAACCCAAATGACCATGAGTAATGTAATTGAGGCTTAAGTGCTCCATATGTGCTTTTACTGAAGACTGCAGCTCTGCAACTGTACTGACATGTGCCTCCAGTGTTGCTGTTTTTACAGGATTTGTACATGACCCAGCAACACATGTACAGTCAATCTGATTTTAATTAATCATGATTACATGACCACTCTGATTTGGTGCTAGCACAAGGTAGGTGTTTCTGATAAAGTGGCTAGTTAGTGGAAGTACAAGGTAGAGGTTTCTAATAAAATGGCCAGTGAGTGGAAGTATAAGGTGTTTGTTTCTAATAAAGTGGCCAGTTAGTAGAAGCACAAGGTAGAGGTTTCTAATAAAGTGGCCAGTGAGTAGAAGTACAAGGTAGAGGTTTCTAATAAAGTGGCCAGTGAGTGGAAGTACAAGGTGGGTGTTTCTAACAAAGTGGCCAGTGAGTGGAAGTACAAGGTAGGTGTTTCCAATAAAGTGGCCAGTTAGTAGAAGCACAAGATAGAGGTTTCTAACAAAGTGGCCAGTGAGTGGAAGTACAAGGTAGGTGTTTCTAATAAAGTGGCCAGTGAGTGGAAGTACAAGGTAGGTGTTTCTAATAAAGTGGCCAGTGAGTTAAAGTACAAGATATGTGTTTCTGAAAAGGTTTCCCTGTTATCCGATAACTCAAAACCCTGAGAGGTTCAGTAACAGAATTCTTAATAATAATCAGTTATCACTTTTGTCCAAATAGTGCATCACTAGATTCCAGCATTCGAGTTTATAATACCTTCTGTTACAGGTTTGAATGTAAATGAGACAGAAATGGATGTTTCACCTGCAGCTCTTTTGTCTCTTTATTTCAGAGATGATGGTGGAGTGAAAGAGGAAAATGTGGATGTATTGTTCTCAGCCTCTACACACACTGTATTCGGGAGCTGCTCTTTGGAAAGCTGGAAATGTTCCTCCACACGGTTACAGCCATCAAATGTCTGGGGACCAGACAACAGATGTGTGAAATGTGCTTCATAAATAATTGTTATTCACTATTGTAAACAAGCAAACAAGTGCAAGCACTCTTAAAACTAAAGCTACCAGCTGCTTTCGGCCCCGCAGACATCAGGGGCCCGCTAACAACTTCTGTGTTATTACTGCATCATTATGTTGTCTAAGGGGTCAGAGAAAAAAGCAACTGCCGTATTATGTCTTAAGAAAGATCTGTATTATGCCTCATAAAAA